CGCCATGTTGACCAGGCTGGTCTTGAACTCCTGGGCCCAAGGGATCCTCCTGCCTCAGACTCCCAAAGTGCTAGAATTGAAGGCATAAGCCACTGTGCCCAGCCCATCCTCCCCTTTTCTTTAAGTATTATTACAGTAACCATTAGAGCATTTCTTTGGAATTTGAACTTCCTGGAATCTTAGAAACTCATCTGTTTGATTTCAACCTGGAGTGGGATGGGGTTGTGCTGTGACCTGCTGCCTGAATAAACTTTCTGCATGTTTCTATACTGGCTAAAGAGTTTAGTTGTAGATTTAAAGTTGTTATCAATAGGGCAGATAATTGCAGAAGAGTAAATTGAGTATGTGTATGAAAGTGTGTGTGTGTATATTGGGACCTACTGCCTGAATGAACTTTCTGCTTGTTTCTATACTGGCTAAAGAGTTTAGTTGTAGATTTTAGGTTGTTATCAATAGTGCAGATAATTGCAGAAGAGTAAATTGAGTATGTGTATGTGAGAGAGAGAGAGAGTGTGTGTGTGTGTGTGTGTTTGTGTGTGTGTGTGTGTATCTGTGTGTGTGTGCTGGGACCTGCTGCCTGAATGAACTTTCTGCTTGTTGCTATACTGGCTAAAGGTTTAGTTGTAGATTAAAGTTGTTATTATCAGTAGTGCAGATCATTGCAGAAGACTAAATTGAGGGTGAGTGTGTGTGTGACCTATATCCAGTGAAAATAAAGAATGGGGGTCAGTTATATACTTTTATACAGTTACTATTTTTACTAAAAATAATTTTATGGGAACAGTTGAATTAGGATTTGGTTATTTATTTCTGAAGAACTTCATCTTCTCTAAAAGATTTCTGGGAGTAATTTGTTAATTTAAGTACCCTTGGGTTTTTGCTACAGATTATTAACCTATCAGTGGAGCAGTTGGGAGACAGAGATTTAAAGCTAGAATTATACACCTATTTGTGGGAGTGAAAAGTAAAAATAATTGAAGTCATGGAGATAGAAAGTACAAGAATGGTTACCAGAGGCTGGGAAGTGTTGTTGCGGGGTGGAGGGGAAGTGGGGATGGCTGATGGGTACAAAAAATAGAAAGAATGACTAAGATCTTACTAGCATAGCAGGGTGACTACAGAATTTATTGTATATTTGAAAATAACTGGAAGAGTATAATTGGGCTGGGCACAGTGGTTCTCATCTGTAATCTCAGTACTTTGTGAGGCCAAGGTGGGCGGGTCACCTGAGGTCGGGAGTTCGAGACCAGCCTGGCCAAAATGGCAAAACCCCATCTCTATTAAAAATACAAATATTAGCCAGGTGTGATGGAGCATCTGAGATTGCACCACTGCACTCCAGTTTGGGCAACAGAGCAAGATTCCATCTCAAAAAAAAAAAAATGTGTAATTGGATTGTTTGTAACACTAAGAACAAATGCTTGAGTTGATGGATACCCCATTTACCCTGGTGTGATTATTATGCATTGCATGCCTGTTTCAAAATATCTCATGTACTCTGTAAGTATATACACCTGCTGTGTACCCACAAAAGTAAAAATTTTTTTTTAAAAAGCTAGAGTTATAAAGACATTCACAATTTAAAGTGAATCAGATATTAAGTAAAGCTTTCTGGAGTTCATCAACAGACTACATTTGTCTTCTTTTCATTAAATACTTCTCAAGTATTGTGCTTTACTACTCAAAGATAGTGAAACCTTGCCCAGGTTTTCCTGTAAATAATTAGAAGCCCAAAGTAGGGAATTTTATTCACCTCTGTGGTACTCCAGTGCTTACCTCATGAAGCTCTATACTAGACATACCTTGGAGTTCCAGAAATATTAAGGTTTAATTCAAACAAAGAGGGAACAGTCACCTCAGGCAGTAGCTGTGGCTAGGAAAAAGCAAAAGGATACATCTGGCAAATTTTTAGACAAAGTTTGTGAAGATAAATCTGAGGGGAACTGTGACTGTTTAAATGATGTATTTATTAGTGACTTTCAGGCTTATTGATCAAAATTTTAAAATGAAACAAACATGAAAATAACTGAAAGCTATAAAATGACCTCTTGATGGATGCCATTATCCTTTCAATTGAGTAACAGTAATATTTAATGCACATTTAAAGTAGTATTGATAGGCTGGGCGTGATGGCTCACGCCTATAATCCCACCACTTTGGGAGGCCGAGGAGGGTGGATCATGAGGTCAAGAGATCGAGACCATCCTGGTCAACATGGTGAAACCCCGTCTCTACTAAATATGCAAAAGTTAGCTGGGCGTGGGGGCGCGTGCCTGTAATCCCAGCTACTCAGGAGGCTGAGGCAGAATTGCCTGAACCCAGGAGGCAGAGTTTGCGGTGAGCCGAGATTGCGCCATTGCACTCCAGCCTGGTTAACAAAAGCGAAACTTTGTCTCAAAAAAAAAAAGTATTATTGATTTTTTTCTAAAAACTTGTTACTTTAAATGAGTACTCCAAGATAATGTTACTTTCTTAGATACTTCTTTTTTTACTTCTTAGATACAAATTATTTTTCTTATGGGATATTTCTGTAATAACATAAATCTCAGAAAATGTACTGCTTATTAATTGAATTCAGAATTCTGAAAATGTTTATAATTTGAGTTGAAACCAGTTTGGGCAACACAGTAAGATCTCATCTCAAAACAAGCAACAACAACAACAAAAAACACAGGTGAACGTAATACACACAGTATTCAACGTAGTAGTCTATCAAGGACCAAAACAACTGAAAGTTTCCAAATAGTAGCTGTGATATATTGTGAATAGGGTGGGAGAGAAGGATTTGCTCCTCTTATTCAATCAAGATGAAACAGTAAAAGTGTATTATTTTAGGCTAAAGGTTTAGCAACCTTCTGAAAAATTAAATAAAAGCTGATGTCATATGATTCAATTAATGTATACATATTTATGGTTTGTATATGCATACACATTTTATACACACACACTTAAATAGGGTGGTTATATATCAAAATGCTACTAGTGGTTTTCTTCCAGTAAACCTTGAGTTTTAAAATTCTGTCTCTTTGTTCTTATATTCAAAAAATATTAGTTTGTATGTATTTGCATATTTTAAATTTAAAAAGATCAATAATAAAGAACCCTTAAAAAACCCAAATGATGACCTCATTATGTCTAGTAGTGGGCCAGAAAATGTGCTGCTGTAGTAAGTAGGTAGTTAACACCTACCTCCCACATAGGCTTGCCAGACATCTTACCCTGATACTTAGCTGCAGGGCTCCAGGAGCCTTTTATACAATGGTGTTTGTACATTGAAAATCAGTAAGGAACTTAAATACCCATGCCTGGGTGCTTCCCCTAGAGACTCCAGTTTTTGTTCTGAAAATGTAGCTTAGTAGGACTCTGAAGTTCCCCGGGTTATTATGATATATAGCCAAGGTTAAGAACTACTCTATACAAAGACTACGTTGAATACTGTGTGTATTATGTTCACCTGTGTTTTTTGTTGTTGTTGTTGCTTGTTTTGAGATGAGATCTTACTGTGTTGCCCAAACTGGTTTCAAACTCCTAGGTTCAAATGATCCTCCTGCCTCAGCCTCTGGAGCAGCTGAGATTATAGGCACGTGCCACCACACCCTTCGCCTGTTTTCTAAAGCTATGTTTTAGTGTTCAGCCTGCCACTGAATTAATAGAGTAACATGAAGGACTGCTCTATTCTCTGCCTCTAAGTTTTCCTCCCTCTATTCTGTCTTCTACACTGTCACAATAATTTTCAAAAGCATGAAATAATTATATCATTGCTCTGCATAAAAGCCTTTAATTATCTGTTCATTTCAGGTTAAAGTGTAAGTTCCTTATCTGGTCCCAACCTATTTTTTGTTTTATCTCTTTTTAGTCTAATGCTAGAGACTCTGAACTCTATTCATACTAACTGTTCCTTGCGTAGTCCTTTTTTTTCGTATCTGCCTTGGCATATTCTGTTTTCTTTGTCACTAATTTTCATCATAGTTCAAGAATAGATCTAGAAACAACATTTTATTGGAATAGAATGAAATTAGCATTTATTAAACTCATTAAGGACTGTACTAGGTACTTTAACTCTTATAATCATCATAGTCATACCTAAGAAATGACCACTTTCCATACTGTACAGATGGGAATCTGAGGCTTTTAGGGGATGAATAAATTGCTTCAAATTACACAACTAGTTGTAGGCAAATATGATATTTTGAACTCCTTGTCCAATGTTTGTTTCTATGACCTTCCTCCACCCACTTCACATTGCTTCAGTAGTAATTAAATTAGTAATCCCATTGCCCATGTGATCATTATCATAACCTCTTTCAAAACATAATATGCATAAACATTTGATGTTTTCAGACTTGTTTTGAATTCTGTATAGCAGAAAGAAATAAATTTAATAGTCTTAAATGGTAGAATAATCACTGTTTGTGTTGTTCTGTATATAATCAGTTTTAATTCTTTTCTGTGATTATCTGAGTATCATTGAACTACATATTCCTGTATGTTTGCATTTACATCTTTTCTGTGATGTCCCCATAAAGAACTGAGCAGTTTCACTTTTCCCTTAATGCATTTTAACACCTCTCCTGCAGTTCTTGTTTGGGCAAAATTTCCTACATTTGTCGCTATCCCACAAATTGGCTGAGTAAGATTTATACATAATTTATACAGAAATTTAAGTGTTTTCAACCATAAAACTCAAGCTCATTTCTGCCCATGTGAAGAGGAAAATTGAAAAGTTCATATATGTAGTTAAATTTTGTAGTGCAAAGGACAGCCTGTGAAACCTCAACAGTCTCTGTGTGGGAAAATGTTACAGTTTAACAAGAAGTTAATTTGGACAGTGTTAAAATTTTGAGATTTTTTACTCTTAAGATAATTTGATAAAATGTAATATTATATAATTGGTTCCCTTATAAATGATTCTCAGATTTTTTTAGTGTTCCTAATTGTGTTATTGTTTCTTTTGTGATTATTGTTTTACAATCTAATTTGAATAATTTTTCCTTCATTAGAATGTGAAAGATGTTGCAGAAGTGTTCCAGAAGTGGCTGAAGATAGAAGGAAAAAAGTGCCACTGCCTATCAGAAAAAACAAAACAAAACAAAACATGGGAAATACAACCACCAAATTTCGTAAAGCACTCATCAATGGTGATGAAAATCTGGCCTGCCAAATATATGAAAACAATCCTCAGCTAAAAGAATCCCTTGATCCAAATACATCTTATGGGGAACCCTACCAGCACAATACTCCATTACATTATGCTGCTAGACATGGAATGAATAAAATATTAGGGTAAGTATTACTGTAAACTAATTGACATTAGGGAAAACAGTACTATGAGCTAATTGATAACAAAGTGGTGAAAGAAAAAACAACCATGATTTTTGAAAATACAAACATACAAACAAGACTTATATTCAGACGTGCATGTAATATGGTCTTGTAGTGAATTAAACTTTCTAAAATCAAATATGCCCAAATATTTGTTATAATTTTATTAGGATTTAGTAAAATTGTCTTTATTATTTCTGAATTAGTCCAAAGGTTTTAATAGTGAGGTTGGTTCACGTGTTCTTGTTGCTATAAATATATTTTGATCCTCAATATGTTTCATAGTATGAATTCTTGTTAATGTATTTAATTTACAACATTTCAGTTCTGTTAGCTATCAAAAGAATGCAGGGAATGGTGCCAAAAGGAAAGTTCTAAACTCTGATTAGGTATTTTTAGTTAAAAAATGGGTGCGTTTGGCTTTTCTAGTCATGATCAGTTAGAGTTTCCTTTCTTTTAAAGGGATTCAGTTACTTGAAAAGATGTTTCTAAAATACTTGAAAAGATGTTTTTAAAACTGAAAATACGAGCCGGGCATGGTGGCTCACACCTGTAATCCCAGCACTTTGGGAGGCTGAGGCGGGCAGATCACCTGAGGTCAGAAGTTCGAGACCGGCCTGACGAATATGGTGAAACCCCATCTTAAAAAAAAAGAAAAAAAAATACTGAAAATACGAAGAAATTTTAAAAAACATCTATTCAATGAGAAAGCTTTAGTGACATAGCAAATATATTTATATGAAGATTCTTACCTAATCACATGAGAATTACATTTGATATTTGCTAACTTATAAAATAAAAGGAACAAAGAATAGAACAGTAGTTACAAAGCAAGTTTAATTTTTTTCGAAGTAGATTATGCAGGTATAGAAGTCTGATGCTAGAAGAGAAAGGAAAAATTGGTTATTTATTATTCAAAGTTCTCTAGAACTTGAATTAAAAAACTTAACATTTGGCCTTTTCTCTGTTTCCTCTGTGTACAAATTACTGTTCCAATTAAGCTGCTTTTTTTGCTATCTGTAAAACATGCCATGAGTGTTCTGTCTGCCATGTCCATGTTGCTCTCTTGGCTAGGAGTATCCCCCTCTTTCTTACTCTGTTCATTTTTCCCTTTCTTAACTTTTTTTTTTTAAATTAGAAACGGTCTTGTTCCATCACTCCAGCTGGAGTGCAGTGGTGTGGTCATAACTTGCTGTAACCTCAAACTTCTAAACTCAAGCTATCCTCCTACCTCAGCTTCCCGAATAGCTAGGACTACAGACATGGACCACCATAGCCAACTAATATTTTGTATATTTTTTGTGGAGCTGGGGCCTTGCTGTGTTGCCCAGTCTGGTTTGTACTCTTAGCTTCAAGCAGTCCTCTCATTTGACCTCCCAAAGTGTCTTTTTTTTCTTTTTCTTTTTTGAGACAGTCTCTCTCTGTCACCAGGCTGGAATGCAGTGGCACAATCTTGGCGCACTGCAACCTCTGCCTCCCAGGTTCAAGTGATTCTTATGCCTTAGCCTCCCGAGTAGCTGGGACTATAGACATATGCCACTACGCCCAGCTAGTTTTTTTATTTTTAGTAGAAACAGGATTTCACCCTGTTGGCCAGGATGCTCTCGATCTCTTAACTCACAATCTGCCCATCTCAGCCTCCCTGAGTGCTGGGATTACAGGCGTAAGCCACTGCAAGTATCTTTTTTTATCTAAATTTTGCTCTCTAAGATCCTGTGTGTGCCACATCTATCTTCTTAGGTTGTTATAATGCATAGGAACCTCTCTCTCTTTTAAAAAGCTTTTATGGCTCTTTATCATTTGTTTGCCTCATGTATTTGCTGTATATTACCCATTATATTTTACAATTTTGTATAGCTTCTGTCTGCCTACCTATATTAATAACTTTTTTTAATGCATCTTCTTTGTACTTCTAGCATCTAGCATAGTATTTTACACACAGTAAACAGATGTTCTATAAAATCATTACACAAGGAAATATTTTTATTATCAGGATTTATAAATGAGAAAAATTCCATAAATTATTTAGAACATTCAAGTCCATGACTTTATTAGGTTTATCTTGGGTTTTATAGATATTTCTTTTATCTCATTTTTTGCTTTTATCTTTCATTTTCATTTTTCTAAAAATCCCCACTTAGAAGCCTCCTCCGGCCTAGCTTGTTTTAAATTTAATATTTTCCCTTCCAAAACTGGGTCTTTCCTATGTTAATGATACCAACCTATTATACTGATATAATAATGGCGAATGTTTATTGAAGGATTACTGTTTAATAGAGCTATAAACAGTGCTGTACATGCATTATCTGAATCCTCATTATAATTTTATGAGTTAGTTTATTGTCTATATTTTATAGGTGAGAAAACTAAAGCATGGTATGGTCTCACAACTTGTAACTGGCAAAGCTTGTTACCCAGGAGACAACCTTAAGCTTTGGGCTTTTAACCACTGTGCTGACAGCCTCTTATCTCTATAGTCCTATCAGCTTATGTGTCAGGGCTGCCTGTCACTTATTAGCAAAGCAAATTAGTCACTCTGGACTTCAGTTTTCTTATCCCTATAATGGATATTTACCTCACAGAACTTGTAGGATAATTAAACAATTAATGTGTTATATGGCTGTTATGCTGCCTAACATACAGTATACACTTGCTAAGTTTATTGCTTTTCACCTCTATAATGCTTAATATCTTCACATCATCCCTGGTTTACTCTTCTCCTTTGCTACCATGCTGCTAATACTAAGTTTACTAAGTCTTATTCTTGGATTTCCTTCCTTTCATCCCTATTGCCCTTAGTTCACTCATAATCATCCCCTGCTCCTAATACTTAAAAGTATCTGGCACCTAAGTGGTTTTTTTTTAACAAGTCTTTTCCTCTTATAATCTGATGCCCAGATTAATTTTACTAAAGCATAGCCTTTCAGTGTTCTTTCTATTTTGAGAAAGTTATAGTAGCTTGTTTTCTACATTGTGTTCTTTTTGGCTTCTAAAATTCTCTTTAGTTCTGCCCTCATTCTCCCCATTTAGCTTATTCTCTTGTTACTTTCTTTCTTTCTTTCTTTTTTTTTTTTTTTGAGACAGAGTCTCCCTCTGTCACCCAGGCTTGAGTGCAATGGCACAATCTTGGCTCACTGCAACCTCTGCCTCCTGAATTCAAGCAATTGTCCTGTCTCAGCCTCCCAAGTAGCTTGGGATTACAGGCAGGCACCACCACGCCTGGCTAATTTTTGTATTCTTAGTAGAGACAGGGTTTCACCATATTGGTCAAGCTGGCCTTGAACTCCTGACCTCAGGTGATCCACCTGCCTCGGCCTTCCAAAATGCTGGGATTACAGGTGTGAGCCACCCCACCAGGCTCTCTTGTTACTTTGTAACATGATCTTGCCTTTCAAACAGGTTGATTGACTTCTCTCTTGCTTTTCTCACTTTTAAGAATGCTACTCAGTTAGCTTCATTCCCGTTGTGTCTGGATTCTCAAATAGCTTCTATCTTCCCTAATTACCTGTCCTTTAAGTCTTAACTCAGTTTCTGCCTTATTCATGAATTCATCCCCAACTACTCTGACCTGCAGCATTCTTTCTGTTCTCTGAAATTTCTACAATTAACATTTAAAATCATATTATTACTAAATTCATCTCTACTAGAGTGTAAATATTATAAATGCATTGCTAGACACTTAGTTTGCTCTCAGTACATGGTGGATTACCAATCTATTAAGGCTTTTTAACTTGACCTTTTGGTTTGGTTTTGTTTATTTAAGTTGAACACTTTATGTAAAATTATAAAACTGTTGATATATTACAAAATTCCTAATATTGGATACTTTAGTAATATTTAATATCAAATCTTATATATGATTAATTAAAACTTATAATACCAATATAAAATGTATTTAAATATTATTATTAATTAGGTAATGTATATACTTTTAACATAAAAGAAACCAAGTGGTAAGATATTTCATAGTAGGGTTTACAAAATTAGTCCAGTGATTCTTAAAATGTGTTCTGAGGACTCCTGGATCTTGAGACTCTTTCAAAGGGTACATGAAGTGAAAACTATTTTTATAATAATACCAAGATGTTATTTTCTTTTTTTACTGTGTTGGCATTTGCAGTGGCAGTGCAGAAAATAGAGTATAAAACTGCTGACACCTTTAAGATGAATGAAGGTAGTAGCACCCAACTGTCTTAGTAATAATTGTATTCATCATTGTTAGGCACTTGCAGTTAAAAAACAAAAAAAAAGAAAGCAGTTTCCACTAAAAAAAAATCCTCGATTAAAACAGTAAAATTCATTTTAACTAATCTCCATCCTTGAGTAACACATAATTTTAATATTCTCTGAGAACTTCGAAGTATGCATAAAGCATTTCTGTTCTATACCAAAATAGACGATAGCTCTAAGGAAGAGCACCTGTGTTTTGAGTTGTGTGTTGAACTGTGTACTTTTTTAATGGAACACCATTTTACAACTAGCAACAACAAGAAAACAATGGTTGTTCAGACTTCGGTACTTAGCTGACATTTTCTTGAAAATGAATTGAGTCTGTCAATTCAAGGAAAACTACTGCCAGTTGTTTGTTGCTAATGATAAAATTTTAGCTTTCAAGTGATTATTCAAATCCGGGAAAACTTGTATTCACCACCTTCAGCTTGACAACTTCTCAACACAGACTTTTCCGATAACATTGACGATGATAGCTTTTTATATTGTATAATGAAATGTGACATCTGGAATATTTGCATAATTCAGTGAATTCAATATTTTCCAAAGATCAGTGTATGATTTTTTTAAAATTATGTATGGGTAAAAGATGTATCCAAAATGTAAGACAGACCAATGGACTGTAATGTAACAGTGCGAAAAAGTCATTGTTACTATTTTAGATACTTCATTGCCACTAATCTTTAAGAAACTACTGTTGGTTGAATTTTTGATACAGCATCAAATATGAA